GCACTAAGATGGATGTGTGAGCAGGTGCACTGTCGTGGTGGCAAAACCAGTCTGCCACAAATCAGGACTTTTTTGTTGCACACTGTGACACTATCTTTTCAGAACGTTTAAATAGAAATCTTAACAGTCTGACCTAGTGGGAAAAACTCCAAATGCACTACAAGTGAACATTTTTGTCCATTCGAGAAGTTGACAGACATCCAGAACGAGGTTTGTCATCAAATGACATTTTCTTTTTTGAAATGAGAAAACCACTGTACACTTGAATTTTCCCCGTTGCACTGTCCTCGAAAGCTGTGTTCAACATCACAACAGTTTCTGCATTTTTCCCAAACAGGAAATACAATTTGACAGCCACACTCTGTTCTCTTGAATTGGCCATCACAAAACAGGTTCGGGCAAAACGTCTTTTATGAAAAAATCCACTGTGACCAGAGAGAACCTTCCCAGGCAATGCCACTGGGTTTACTAACTTACAGTGAGTTGTTCAATGGTCAACTAGCAGGAAAAATGCGCAGGCGGAAAGGTCTGTCCAGTGCAGCTTTTTACTGTGTTTTTTTCTAATGTTTGTTTGTTTGTTTTTAATTGGGGGTTGGTACCACCTCGTGTGTATATTCTATCATACACAGTGTTGTATCTAAGAAGCATTCTGGCTGTACTTCCCTCCAAGACAGATTTGTTTGTTCTTCTGGTAGTCCGTGATATATTCCATGTCCTTTCCAGAACTGTAATTCAAAGCTATCAATTATTTTTCAATCTTCTTTATTGTCCAGCTTTCATAGGTATTTGATGAGATTGAAAATACCATGGAGCTTCAGGCAAGCATATCTTAGTCTTTAAAGTAACATTTTTGCTTTTTCATAGTGTCCAGAGATTTTTACAATAGAACTGCCAATACAATACATTGTTGAATGCTGCTACTGTAGATGTTGTTTGTGGACATAAAATGAAATCCTTGACAATATCAACATTTTTCCATTTACCACAATGTTGCATGTTGGTCCAATTTTGATATTTTTCCTATCGTGTTGAAGTATAATCCATATTAAAAACTCTTTTGATCTTCATCAGAAGAGCTACATGACTGCCTCTTTCAGCAAGCAAGGCTGTATCAACTGCATATTAACAAGTCTTCCTCTAATCCTGATGCATGTTCTTCTTTACAGTGTCTCAGATTTGCATAGCACACAAATTAAGTAACTATGGTAGAAGGCTAAAACTCTGACACATACCTTTCCTTATTTTAAATCATGCAACAATTACTTTTGCTGACCAAATGCTACTTCTTAGGGTTTATGTAGAAGAGCATAATTTAGTATTCTGGAATTCTCATTCTTCACAATATTCTCTATCATTTGTTTTGAACCACAGTCAAATGCCTTTTCATAGTTAATAAAACACAGGTAAATATCTTGTGGTGTGCTATTAACAATGGATAAATTCTAATTATCCCAAACTATGAGGCATTATATTTGATTTTCATTATTTACTGTTTTGTTCTATAAAGTTGCCAGGAACACTGAATCAGAGTATACAAACCAAATTTATCTAATCATATTCACTTCAATTACTCTGCACATATCTGTAAGTCATGAAAGAATTGCCATATAGTAATTGTAGAGTTACAAACAAATATTAGGAAGTGAATTCATAAGATACAGAATATACAAATAATGAAGATATACAATGAGAATATGCCCTATTTAAGAGGAACAGCAGAGTCCCTTTCCTATATTTTTAGGAATCAAAACAAATCATTTAACAAAGGTCAACAAGATGATCTGATCTTACAAACCTCTGACGGTCCTCCTCATCACTGCTTTCATATTCTGATTCTTTACTAGATAACTCCTCATCCTCATCTGGCAGAGGAGGTTCCTCAGGTGGCTGAGGAGATGCAGGTGGAAGAGGTGCATGTAATGGCATATAGTCTTCATACTAAATCAAAGAAAACAAAAGTACCGTGGCAATTTATAATTTTTATAGAAAACACAAACTATTTCCATTAAGGCATCCAACTCAGTTGTCATGGTAGGCATTGGGGAAGCTTTGAGAAGTTACTAAGAAGATTTATAAAGTCACTAAGATCTACATTAGAAAAGTAGCCAAACTCTTAAAATTTTCTTTCATTTATATGTAAGCATTCCAATAATTTCTCATTGCTATTATTTACAAAGTATTAAGTGTACTATTAAAAAAAACCCAAACTCACTGCTATCTAGTCATAGCGACTCATAGCGAGCCTGGTAGGTTTCCAAGACTGCAACTGCTTATGGGAGTAGAAAGTACAGTCTTTCTCCTGTAGAGTGTTGAATTGCCGACCATGCAGATCGCAGCCCATAGTGTAACCACTACACCACTGGAGCTCCTCAAGTGTATTATAGCAAAGTAATTACATAATAAAATTAATCAAGAGTAGGTTCAGCAGTCTATATACATTGTTATATACATATTATCACATTCTAATAAAATATTAATTACCTTATTTGTTCCCTCAAATGAAACTCTATTTATAAGAACAGCAAAAAAAGAAAATTCTAGATAATAGTTAAATGTAATTATTGTATAGGATGGCAAGATGTTCTCAATTAAAATACAACACAATAATACTGGCAGAAGTGATGATGACGGTCTCTACTGCCAGAAGTATCATTTTCATCTTCTAATGCTCCCATTTCAGTTATCTACTACACTGTTATCACATTAAGCTTACAGTTGTTTCTATTTCCAGCATATATTATAGACTTCTAGAAAATCAACTGTATATTTTGGCCTCAAGAATCCCAATCGAGCTTAATTTTGGAGCTTTCTTACCAATGGAGGCCGTGCAGTAATTGGTCCAAAAGGTGTGGGCAAATTCATTTTATTCATAAGATGAAGAACCTTAAAGTAAAAAAAATATTTCAAATCATGTTGTATAAACTGAAGATTCAATTTATATCTCACATGTACTAAATTTTTTACTACATTAACATCATTGATAATTTACTGCAGAACTAAAAATGAGATCTCAGAATATTGTAAAACCCATTGCTGGCAAGTCAATTCAGACACATAGGACAGGGAACTGCCCCCACAGGATTTCCAAGATGTGCTTTTTAAAATAGCAGATTGCCATATGGGCAGAGGCTGGTGGGTTGGCATGCTGGTTACAAGTACAGCCGCAATCTGCAAGGCCCCCAGTTTGAAACCACCAGCTGCTCTGCATAAGAAAGATAGGGCTTTCCACTCCTGTGGAGTGAGTTACAGTCTCAGAAACTGACAAGGCAGTTCTATATTGTGCTATAGGGTCACTTTTAAGAGAGCACACTGACTCCATGAAAAGGAGTATGAGGTTTTTTTAATTATTTGTTTACCATGTGAGTACGTAACAACTGCACTATCAAGGTTTCCTAAGAGTAGTCTTCCAAAAAAGTTTGTATATGCTACCAAGAGTTATTCCCACTATTAAGAATTAAACCTTGCGATGCAAAACCACTTTATTAAGTTGATTCTGACTCATAGGGAGAGTTTTTTGAAGCTGTAAATCTTGATGGAGCAAAGAACCTTGTCTTTCTCCTGTTGAGTGGCTGATGGGTTTGAAACACCAAACTTTTGTTTAGCGTTACAATGATTATTTCAAAGCACAGCACCAACAGGGCTGCTTGCCTTGCAATGTAAAGTCTACTTTACAGTACTTATACTCATTTACCTAACTATTATAAAATTATTAAACAGTGAAGTACAATAAGGAAAGTAAACATTATGTTTTATAATTCAAAGGTTCTTCGTAGACTTATTACCATGCATTTGGTATGGTGAGCGTTGTCTTTTCCCTTAAGAATCTCTATTTAAAAGTGTGGTATAAAGTAACAATTACCAAAAATAGTATTTTTCCATTAGCTTTTGTTTGTTAGGATCATCACTATAACTTATAATAGTAATTGACTAGAAAGTCATAGCATTTTATTATGTTTAAAATATTAAAATATTACCTTTCTAGAATCTGATAGTATTATAAATATGAGAATTATCATGGAAAATAACGTATCAAACTATACAAGGATTTACATTTAGGGAAATAAGTCTTACTCTACTTACTTGTACATAGAACTTAGGCACACTTGCTAATGCATTCACTATGTTTGCTAGGATTGTGCTCGAAGGTGGTGGATACATATACTTGAGGCATGAATTTAGAGGAAAGGTCAGCCTTAAAAAAAAAAAAAAGGACATTAAAAATGCTTATTACAATTTTTGCCTTTTTTCTTCAGGCAGAAAAGGGTTTGTTGTATTGAATAACCAATGTATATAATTGCCAAAGATACTCTGAACAGACATGATGGGAGTTGTATTTCTTGGTCTCCTCCTCCTAGGACAAACAGTAACTACTCGTCAGAGCACCTGCATGCTTGTTTGCAGTCTTCCGTTTCAACCTGGTCAGCTAGGAATCCCCTGCAGACCCTGTCTGCCTACAGGCAGAGAACACGTTCTATGAAACTCTGGGGTGAAGTTGTTCTCCCTCATCTTAGGCACAGGCTGTGATATTTGTGATGTCGTTTTTGTTGTTAGTGCCAGGGTCAGTTCCAACTCATAGTGACCTTAGCAAAACAGAAGGAAACACTGCCCAATCCAGCGCCATTCTCACAATCTCACTGCCCTGTCCTGCGCCATCCTATACTTGACCCCACTGTTGCAGCCACTGTGTCAATTCATCTCATTGAGGACCTTCCTAGTTTTCACTGCCCTTCTACTTTAACAAGCATGATGTCCTCGGGGACTGGTCTCTCCTGACATGTCCAAGGTATGTATGCTCAAGTCTCACCATCCGTGCTCTAAAGAACACTTTGGCTGTCCCCTTCTTCCACTTCAAGTTTGCTTGCCCTTTTGGCAGTCCATGGTACTTTGGATTGTAGCAGCTTCTGTGCTACTGGGATCTTGGAAGCTATGCCACTGATATTTCAAATGCCAGCAGGGTTACCTAAGGTGAACAGTTTTCAGTGGGGCTTCCAGACTAAGAACAAAAGATTACAAAAAAAGGAATCAGCTGCTCGATTCAGAGCTGCTGAAAACCTTATGCATAGCATGGAGTCCTGCATGTGATACATTTTAAATTCATGGTATCTTCTGAGCAGTTAGTATAGAGTTACAGTCCTCCTAAAATATCTTTTTGGGCATCTGAGCATTTTCTTTCAAGTACTCTTTAAACTACCTGAGGAGCCGTGGTGGTAGTGATTCCATGTTGGGCTGGGAGTCTCATGGTCAGCAGTAGGAAATCACCAGCAGCTCCAAGGAACACAGACTGGGCTTTCTACTCCCACCAACAGTTACAGTCTCAGAAACCCACAGAGGGTCGCTATGAGTAAGTGTTCACCCAACAGCATTGAGATTTTTTGAGTTTTTTCCTATCTGTGCCCATTTGCCTGCTCTTCTGGAGGGCCAAGTTATTTTTGTGGCCTGGGTATGGGTGATTTTTATCAAAAATCAACTCATTTTTT